AAGATACAGATGCAATGAAACGGCAGGACACCTGCACCCCAATGTTTATAGCAGCAATGTCCACAATAGCCAAACTGTGGAAGGAGCCTCGGTGCCCATCGAAAGATGAATGGATAAAGAAGATGTGGTTTATGTATACAATGGAATATTCCTCAGCCATTAGAAACGACAAATACCCACCATTTGCTTCAACGTGGATGGAACTGGAGGGTATTATGCTGAGTGAAGTAAGTCAATCGGAGAAGGACAAACATTATATGGTCTCATTCATTTGGGGAATATAAAAAATAATGAAAGGGAATAAAGGGGAAAGGAGAAAAGATGAGTGGGAAATATCAGAAAGGGAGACAGAACATGAGAGACTCCTAACTCTGGGAAATGAACTAGGGGTGGTGGAAGGGGAGGTGGGTGGGAGGTGGGGGTGACTGGGTGATGGGCACTGAGGGGGGCACTTGATGAGGGGCACTTTATTCTATATGTTGGCAAATTGAACACCAATAAAAAATAAATTTATATATAAAAAAAGAATTATTTTACTTTGAAAAGACTCATAGTAAATTGTCATGTGATTGCAAAGATCCAAATAAAATGTGCCCCAGCTTTCTAAAACTTTTTCCACAGGAATGTAATGTTCTGACAGGCCCTCATTTTTGGACCTTTGAGGCTGTATAAAACTTTCATTTATTTCAGTAAAAGTCATTAACAAAAAATTCTGGGGGAATATTCCAGCCTTGAGCTGATTCTAGGGAAGCAATGGAATTTGGAGGCAAAAGATGTGAGTCTTAGAGTAAAGAGATGTAGTTTCTATTCCCAGGTCTCTTCCCTGGGACCTTGATGCATAGGTGCCACATTTTTAAATAGGAATAACAACCATGTCTACATTGCATGAGGTGTCCAAATCAAATCTAAGTTGCTCATTTCACATGAGCCAACTCTGATTGTTGGAATGAATACTAAGTTTCAAATTTTTAAAAAGGACAATAATTTTAATGGATGTAATTTTTTAAAAGATTTTTCAAATTTATTCATTAGAGACACACAGAGAGAGGCAGAGACACAGTCAGAGGGAGAAGCAGGCTCCATGCAGGGAGCCCGATGTGGGACTCGATCCCAGGTCTCCAGGATCAGGCCCTGGGCTGAGGCTGCACTAAACTGCTGAGCCACCTGGGCTGCCCAAAAGATGTAATTTAAATAAAAATACAACATGCTGTTGTGAAACAGAAAAACAAAACAAATCTAAAACAAATCAAGTTTATAATATTATTCTTTGCTTCCAGACTTTGACCCACTGCTACTTAGAAGGACAAATACCTTAAGGAAAGTGGAAGAAAAGCTCAGTTATCTAAATGTGTATTAATTAGTCTTGCTGTTTTCTGAGCCACTTCTCTCTATACTCAGAGATCCTGGCTCAGGGGAATGTAAACTAAATGACACAAAAAGACAATTTAGGAGAATTCTTTTCTCCAATGAGGAAAACAAAAATCATTCAATTTGAAAATAAACAATTTCTAGATTGAAGAGCTATTTGGTCAGCATGAGTTATGGAAACTAAGCAAGCCCAGGGTATAAGGGCAGGGATTCAGTCCCGAGTCTCCCAGAACCTAGACCAAGGTCACGTGAGATCTCTGAGCCTTGGTTTCCTCATCTATAAAATGGGGGTGCAGGTGATAAAAATAGTGAGAGCTAAAATTACCCTAGAAAGTAAGTAAGTTAAAGAACATGAAATAATTCAGTTAAGTGAAAAGTCTTATACAAGTTTTCACTGTTATAATCATTCTAAGCTGCTGGATCATATCATATCTACCCTGAAATACAACCATTTTGCCCATGAAATACACACACACACACACACACACATACACACACCCCTGAGAGTGTAAACCAAGGTGACAATCCAGGTCCTGTCTTCTACAAGTCACCTGCAGCTCTCAGGGCCTTGATTTCTCTTCATCCTGGTCTACTGTGCACACTTATTGTGAGTTCTCATGAAATAAAGCAAGAACACACTTCAAAAACTGCCAAGTACTATACAAATGTAAGGCATAGTCATTAGCTGGGGTTGTCAGCAAGAGCTGGCTTTCCTGAAGGGGAATTAGAGGAAAGAGTTTCTGGGTTGGTGTTTCTTGAATTCCTTTTATCATGAAAAGGAGCCATTTTCATCCTTCGAAATGATTTTTTTTTTCCTAAATTGGAACTCGTATGTACTAATTCAAGAAAACAATCACTGGCAATTTATATGATTCAAAAAGGGAAGATTAGGGCATCGATCCCTCCGTTAGGTCTTGGCAAAATGAAACGTAAAAGAATTTCTGCCATCCTTCTTGTGGGGAGCCACATTCAGCACAATGTTATAAGTGCAGTGTTATCTTTCATGAGAAGGAAAGGTAGCCAGCCTGTTAAAGAGGCTTTCTTGAAAAGAATCAGCCAGGAAAAAATAATACACATCTATGTGATGCTTGAAATGATTTTTTTCATTGTATTAAACTATCCAGGGACCCCCCCAAAAAAAGTAAAAAAGGAGTTTTCCAAGCTCTTCTGTTATATGGGCTTTAAGTAGAACATATTGAGAAGCAATAACTTTAAAAAATGAGTCCTTAGAACTACACATGAAGAAATAAGTGGCCATAAAACCTAAACACAGTAGAATAAAATAATAAGCTTCATATAACTTTGTATTCTAAATAAATACTATAATAACTACACTCATTTTTCTTTCATCTTTCGATTCCCTTTCATTTTCTTAAGGAGCTTCTTGGTACTAAAATGACAGTCCTGCCTCAGTAAGTACTTTTCCAATTATCCTTAAGGTTTATCCTTCTCAGTTTCTGTCAATGGTACCCGGTTTTCAAATTAAGCTTTAAAATTTTTTTACTGATTTACACGTTTTAAAACCATTTTTAATACTACAATAATGGCAGTTATTTTTGTGTTGTGTGTCCCTTTCATTTTGTATTCCATCATGAGATCTAAGGCCATTTTTGAATATACAAATTACTTTATACCCTTGATGAATGGTATCACCATACACTATAATAAAATTACTCTATAATTGATGAAAAACCAATGCTTTCTTTTAATGGGACTAAAGAAAAACATGAACACACACACACACACACACAAAAGCACAAGTCCTGCTATGAATACAATCCCAAGAATCAGGGGGTAACAGGCAGATGCATTGTACTTGCAGTTACCAAGGCAATTGCATCAGTTTTGCTATGGAAAGGCTAGAAGAACACAAGCAACTTATTAACTTTAAGGGCCATCTGGAAAGAGCCCCTGACAAAGCATTAATGAAAGACATAACTGAAGGCATCATGTCAATCATTATACATGTATATTCAGCTGGGCAACCATGACTTTACAAAAAGGAACGAGATAACATTATGCCTGCTTAGAATAACCAGAATTTTTAGAATTATTATTCATTGTGATGAGACAAAAATATTTATAAACAAAAAGCAAAAGCTAGTCTTAATCCCTCATTAAAGTTAGTTTAGTAAATTTCAAATTTTAAAAGAAAACACTTCAGAATATTTTTATTTCTGAAACTTGAAACTAAAAATATTTTTAGGGAAAAGTTTTGATTTTGTACTTTTGTAGCTGAAGCAGGACCTTCCAATAGCATGATGTATGATGAATGAATTTCTGATGAGTTGCTTTAATTCTGTTAAAAGCATCATCAATAATCTGGTAAATACGAAAGACCAGGGCAAGTACCATAGGATGTACAAATATGAATAAGTGCATTATTTGCCTTCCAGAAGTTTATAAATACGGAAACTATTTCATTATTTGTGTGAATTCTCAGATTCTCAAAAGACATATACAAATATTTCACTGCTTCTCTTTGAGCCTATTTTTTCTAGTGTTTCTATTTTCTTGTTGTTGTTTTCATTCTGACTTGTTTGGAAATAAAACACCACATTAGCCACTACCATCACTAACACATCGCCCCCATGTCTAAGTTTATATTAATAAATACCTAAGATTCACCCAATTTGAATTTAGTCTTCAATGACCTAAATGCATTATCACCTCATAGCACAGCAGCAAGCAAGAACCAAACACCATTCCTCAGAGCAAAGGTTACCACTACTAGTAACCTTTGTTACTTTGTCACTTTGTTTCTTATTTAGAGCATAAACTGGGAATGGTAACTGAATTATAATCTTGCATGTTTCTCCCCAAATTATATGCCTTGGACTGTTTGTCTTGAGAAATGCCTATCTCCTAAAAACCGCTCTTTGGGCAATGCTGTATCCATATTTCTTTTTCAAAGTTTCACAGTGTTCTTAGTATATTAAAGGCTCCTGCAATAATCATTTATTTATCTTTAAACTTTTGCTTTCTGAATCTATTTGACCAAGCAACTCCCTGTTCCCACCTTGCCCATTTAAGAACAGCTTTGGATATCCCTCAGAACTAATATTCTCAGGAAGAAACTTTGAGAAATATTGTTGTTGACTGACAAGGGAAAGAGCATATTTAGATGGATATTACATCCTTTTAAAGCTTGAAAGCTCTAATTACTCTGCCCTAGGAAGACACCAAGGCATGGTACCTAAAACAGTGTTTAAGTTATAATATCTCACAATGTTCTGCTTCCTTAAACGTATTTCTAAGATTTCAAGTGTCCCTCGTATGCTGTGGATCTGACTGGAGAGCCCTCAGATAGTACATTTTTCCCCCTCCTGTGCTCATGGTCGTTCCAGGCATGTGCATGGTGGAGACATAACTTGAAAGAGTGAAAATATCAAGCCATTTGTTTGTACAAAAAGCTCTCAATGAGGAAGAGTTTATTTGTTCTTTTGACTCCAGATATTCCCCTAGCCACATCAACCACTGGTAAATTGTCCCTCAGGAAGAAAACCATTGACACAGAATAGTAAATTAAATAACTACCCTATAATGCATAAATTCAAGTTACTAGGCAAAAGCTGTAAGGATTAAATAAATTTTAGTTTGCCTGGAGCTGCATTGCATTAGAAAATCCTTACCCCAGGTGTTGAGTTTCTGGCCCAGCTGGGCCATCCATTGGCCACCTGCTCATGCATTGCTCTGTTTGCACAACGTGATGGAAATTCCTTGGGTAAAGGATCTGCATAATGGAGAAAGGAAATCGTATAAAATTTTTGCCAAAATAGTTCTTTCTCTTGATTTTTAAAATTTAATTTCCCTCTTCTTTTGCTACTAGATTCTGCATGGCATAATGTATATTTTTAGCATTGAAATCCTGGCAAATACTGTTAAAAGAATTAAGTGATGCACAATTATGTGGAAACATAATAAAACAAAACAAAGCAGACGACAGGCCAACATTCCCAATATTCAGAAGCAGATGCAAAGGAGGACTGGATGTATGTACAAGTCTGCACCAGTTAAGGAAACAAGAGACTTAGCTTATTTACTTCTTTAACTCAAAACTATAAAGAAGGCAAATCAGCACCCCTGCATGACTTAGCTCTTTTTGCTACATTTATAGTAGACATATATGGCATTTAATAGGTTCTCTTCATTTCTGTCACCAAAGGTACTAGAAATAAGCCTATGGGACTGGGCTTTAATGTAGAAAAGCCAAGATAATGCTCAAGTAATAAAAATAGGATCAGCGCTTGTCAAGTCTCTGGACAAGTAAATGCCAAGCTTGCTCCCCCGTACTGCCCCATCTAAGAAGATAATTTAAAATGGGGCAGAAGCAGTTTCTATTGAAAGGCTAAGGAAGACCAGTTGCATTAGCTTAAGAGGCCCATATAAGAGCTTAGGAAGCTATTATGAGTGACACACGAGAGCCAGCTGGACAAAGAAAACCGTGAGCCTCAGAATGCCCCACTGTTTCTCTCCGAATGGCTTTAATTGGCAAAGACAGTTCAAGGACCTTTTTATCCCCCAGCCGAGGGATAGTAAATCCCAAGTGCCATCTCTGGGAGGCAGCTCCTGGAGGATAGTGGATATCATAGCTACAACTACAGCATAAAAATACCCTTGTGCTAACCTACTCAAGGCCTGCCCTAGCACTCTCCTGGACAGCTGTGTCTAAGAATTACCTGGCTGCTTCTTAGAAAGGGTTATAAGAGCATGTCACAGCCAAGACTATAATTTAAAAATCTGTTGTATCTCTCTCTCTCTCTCATCTATCTATGTATATATCAAGCTAAGCTCTCTGGCCACTAACAGATTTAAGGAATGCCCGGGAAACATGGTGCTCCAATTCCCACACTGGTTGTTTCCTTGATGACATGTTGTAGTAAAAAGCCTATCTGGGATCTTTTCCTCTCTTCATCACAGAAGAAGTAATTTCTTAAAAGCTTGATCCTTTCCCTAGGAGAGAGAAACAAATATAAACTCTGTGAGCAGAGAAGGCCTTTCCTATATCCTGTGTTCAAACACTGTCTGCAGCTGCAGAATCATGAAATTTATGGGAGAGGACTTCAAGATGGCTATGATCAGAGCAGGGATTTTGCTTTAACAAATAGCCCAAATCATCAACGAATGGAATCACTAGTATTTATAACAATGTACTGATTCTATTACTGAGCATAGCACTCCATATGGATAATATGCAGTTACTTTCTGTTGCTGGTAACACTAAATGTCTGAAAGCAATATCCTCTCTTACCAGGTATTAGATTAGGTTAAAATTCTTTGGGGTTCACCTAATCATGTGCAACTGTTGCATTAGTTACGGAACAAAGCTAAATTTCATTAAAAAGATTCTTCAACAATCAGATCAGGAAAAGTTTGTTTTATTTTGATTTTCTAAATCAAATGCTCTCTTAAAATATGCATGTATATTTTTTTATTTACTATAGACTCATGCAGAAACAATACACACTGTGTATTTCCCCTTTAAACATGTGTTTGAACTAGATCAGGGCTTGAGGTGTCCAGAAGAGTTAAGTAGGGTTATTTTCTTTTTTTTTTTTCTTTCTTTCTTTTTTTTTTTTTATTTACGATAGTCATACAGAGAGAGAGAGAGGCAGAGACACAGGCAGAGGGAGAAGCAGGCTCCATGCACCGGAAGCCTGACGTGGGATTCGATCCCGGGTCTCCAGGATCGCGCCCTGGGCCAAAGGCAGGCGCCAAACCGCTGCGCCACCCAGGGATCCCGGGTTATTTTCTTTTGGAAAGAATAATAATTAAAGAGATGCCTATCCGAATAAATTGAAGTACATCTTGATTTTGACTTCTACAGGTGTGTCATACAAAATTTCTATTGGTAATTATTCCCTACCCTACCTCAAAAACAGAGTTACATTGGTTATAACTCAACAAAAGCTCCACTAAACTGTAGCAGAATGGTGTTTTTCATGCCTTGTTTTGAAGCTCAGTATGAATAGCCACTGGATTTTCCTTCTCAGTCTTATTCAACATTTGTATTGTTTTGGGGGGACACTATTACTATTGCTATTTCATCTTTTTCTGACTTGAATTTTAAAAATTCATTGTAAGATAACATGTTTGATATTTTAAGTAGTTAAGACTAATTACAGAAATATAGCTTAATGTGCTAAAAAAAAAAAGGAAGAAATTAGTTGCCATGGAAAAAAATCTCAAATCCACTGAGAATTTTAATCCTTTTAATTAAAACATTAGAAAACTTAAGTGCTTCATAAACACATATTTGATCATTTAAGGGACTCTTAATACCTATCTAACAGCGTTTCCTTAAATACAGCTAGTCAAATTGTAGGTGAAGACATTATTCCCTTCCACCCAAGCCAGCTTTATCTGTGACTTTTGGATAAGACATTGTCTTTGGGCAGGAGGATTTGCCTAAGGGAAAAATAGAAGGCAAGAACAGCAACAACAAAAGGTCTGAATAACCTATGTTATTAGTAAAGCTGATACTTGATACTTGTATTTCAGTCATTAGATGACTTTTCAAAACAGACAATTCAGTCAAACTTTTAGTTTAACTAACAAAATGTTTAAAGAGCTACTAAATAAATCTTTTACTGGGATAATTACTTGATTTTGTTTCATTGGTCAATTTAGTTAGCTTTTAGGCTCCAGTTCTCAAAGATGGAAGTCGAATAAACTCAATTTTCAGAGTACTAGACTATTAAAATTTCTTTTTTTTTGAGATTTCTTTTTTTAAATAAAAATTTGTTTCCAATTATTCAAAATGAACATCCCATTCCTGCAAAGAATGGCATTATGGAAGGCTGATTTAGAATAGATGTTATTCAGGAAGTGTATGAAACTTAGCTTCCTAAGTTTTCTAGAAAAATATAAATTAAAATATGCATTCAGCTCTACTGTTTTTAATTTTAACCAAAGGTCCAAAGGCTGAAATCTGGATAGCAATAAAATGGGACTGTACTCCAGATAATAAACAAAGATTATTTATTGATGAAATTTATATGATTATATTTTAATTTTACACTTGATTTCAGTCATTGCCTTTAGATTTTTAAAATACTGTTCAAAACTGAATGATTTGGGTTAATGTTTTTATTTTTTCAGTTGTTTTCTTACTATTGCATGTGTACTTCTTTGCAATCTCCTTTCTGAATGCATGTACCATTACTATTTGTCTGATTACTGTTTTCAAATATTAATTTGTTTGAAGTTAACTATGCTTCACATTTTAAAAGATCAAAGGGAAAATATGACTGGAAATTCATAAAAATTACTTTCATAGCACAAAAACAGACATGTAGATCAATGGAACAGAATAGAGAACCCAGAAATGGGCCCTCAACTCTATGGTTAACTAATCTTTGACAAAGCATGAAAGAAGAAAATAAAAATGGAATGAAATGAAATGAAATGAAATGAAATGGAAAAAAGAAAATCTCTTCAACAAATGGTGTTGGGAAAATTGAACAGCCACATGCAGAAGAATGAAACTGGACCATTTCCTCACACCATACACAAAAATAGGCTCAAAATGGATGAAAGACCTAAATGTGAAACAGGAATCCATCAAAATCCTAGAGGAGAGCAGAGGTAGCAACCTTTGTGATCTTGGCTGCAACAACTTCTTACTCAACATATCTCCAAAGGCAAGGGAAACAAAGGCAAAAATGAAGTATTGGGACTTCATCAAGGTAAAAAGCTTTTGTACAGCAAAGGAAACAGTCGACAAAACCAAAAGACAACTGACAGAATGGGAGAAGATATTTGCAAATAACATATCAGATAAAGGGCTAGTATCTAAAATCTATAAAGAATTTATCAAACTCAACACCCAAAGAACTAATAATCCAGTCAAGAAATGGGCAGAAGACATGAAAACACATTTCTCTGAAAGGGACATAAAAATGACTGACAGACACATGAAAAAATGCTCAAAATCACTTGGCATCAGGAAAACAGAAGTCAAAACCACAATGAGATAGCACCTCATATCAGTCAGAATGGCTAAAATTAACAAGTCTAGAAATGGCAGGTGTTGGCAAAATGTTGAGAAAGAGGAACCCTCTTACACTGCTGGTGGGAATGCAAACTGGTACAGCCACTCTGAGGAACAGTATGGAGGTTCCTCAAAAAGTTGAAAATAGAGCTACCCTATGACCCAGCAATTGCACTACTGGGTATTTACCTCAAAGATACAAATGCAGTGATCCAAAGGGGCACCTGCACCCCAATGTTTATAGCAGCAATGTCCACAATAGCCAAACTATGGAAACAGCCCAGATGTTCATCAAGAGATGAATGGATAAAGAAGATGTGGGATATATATATCTCTATCTACAGTGGAATACTATTCAGCCATCAAAAAAAATGAAATCTTGCCATTTGCAACAAAGTGGGTGAACTAGAGGATATTATGCTAAGCAAAATAAGTCAATCAGAGAAAGACAATTATATGACCTCATGTGGAATTTACAAAACAAAATAGAGGATCATGGGGGAAGGGAGAAAAAAATAAAACAAGACAAAATCAGAGGGGAAGACAAACCCTAAGAGACTCTTAATCATAGGAAACAAACTGAGAGTTGCAGGTGGGGGGGGGGGGTGGATAGGGTAACAGGTGATGGACATTAAGGAGGGCACATGATGTAATGTAATTGGGTATTGTAAAAGTCTGATGAATCACTGACCTCTACCTCTGAAACCAAAAATACATTTTATGTTAATTAATCAAATTTA